ATGACTGAGTGCATATGTGCATTTATTTCCTCTTGGGTTTCCAGTATATTGCAACATCCAGTTCTAAATAGTGCCCTCTCAATCCTCTCTGCTTATTGCTTGTGAGGATGGGAGCCATAATCTAAAATATCTGGAAAGCATAAGTTTGCGGGAGCCTATCCTTTGAAGTTGGATTAGCCTTTATGCTGCCTGCTGCTGGGCTCCGCTCGCCTCCACTCTGCACTGTTGATATATTTGCAAATAAGGAAGAAATTGCAAAGCCGCACAGAATTGCGTAAATTTGCTGGAGAGAAAACAGCCACAGGAGAAAAATAGGGGACAGCTTAATGTTTTACAGGTAGCCCTCGACTTATGACCCTAAAGGAGCTTGAAATTACCATCGTAAGTCATGATGGTCATAATCTTAGGCGTCCACGTTACTAGACTTGACTTTAATGACCTTTGTTTTTAATTTGTTTTCGTTAAACAAATCAAGATATTGTTAGGATGCTTTTTGCTAGAAACTGGTCCAAAAGATCGGAAACTGGCAAAAATGATGTAAATCACAGTCATAAAGGTAGATGTTGGTTTTAATTTTGTCCTAGGATATTAGCTATCTCAATCGGTTTTGTATTTTAGATTTGTTAAGCATTTCTTCATTTCCTTAACCTAAGCAATTAATAAAAGTAATGAAATCGGGAGAGGCCAATTAACCAAATCTCCACTCATGTGGAAGAATGTAGGATTCCTGCTTGAACTTTATGGCACTCTACTCACTATTTCCCTCCAATCTAGGACCCATTGATCCTCCCTGAGTACAATTTTCAAGCTAATTGCCTGTCACACCAATTAACAAATGTTTTCAAAGTTTCCACTCATGTTGTTGGGTTCTGTGTCAAATGCGTTCCTGAAATCAAGATGTATGACATCCACAGCATTCCCATCATCTACCAAGTAAGTAACCTCAAAATGTGATGAGATTGATTTTTCAAGGTCTGCTCTTGAATAACTCATGCTGACTTCTGGCACTGTTTTCAATCAATGTCAAATCAATCAAGTTATATATAACTTCCTTATAAGCTAAAACAGAAATCGATTTCTCAAAAGTTTCAGATACATCAATTTCATTAAGATTCAGCCAGCCTCTCAGAGACTGAGAATCAAAATCACTTGAAGTTTTACTTTAGTAAGGCCACACCTGGAATGCTGCATCCACTTTTGGTCATCACATTACAAAAAAGATGTTGAGGTTCTGGAAAAAAAAAGTGCAGAGAAGAGCAACTAAGATGATCAAAGACCTGGAGACTAAAACATATGAAGAACGGTTGTAGGAACTGGGTATGGCTGCTCTGGAGAAAAGAAGGACTAGGGGTGACATGATAGCAGTATTCCAGTATTTGGTGGGCTGCCACAAAGATGAGAGGGTCACTCCATTTTCCAAAACCCCAGAGGGCAGGAAAAGAAACAACGGATGGAAACTAATCAAGGAGAGAAGCAACCTGGAACTAAGGAGAAATTTCTTGACAGTGAGAACAATTAACCAGCGGAACGGTTTGCCTTCAGAAGTTTTTGGGTGCTTCATCACTGGAGGTTTTTAAGAAGAGATTGGACAGCCGCTTGTCTGAAATAGTACAGGGTTTCCTGCTTGAGTAGAGGGTTTGACTTCTTTCAATATTCTGGATACAACTGATCTGGCCCTGGAGATTGCTTTTCACAGTTTCCTGATGGACTGCTTAGCACCTGATTTGAGAAGAATGAACCACAACAAGAGTTGAAGACTTCTTTTTATTATTACCTGTCACCATGTTGACATTTTCACTGAGAAGTTGATGCACTGATCTTTCCTCTTATTTCCTCTTATTGAACAGTTTACCTTCAAGGCTTGACAGGGGCAATAAACATAGGGCACTCAAAAGTAATCTTCATTTGAACATGAAGATTCCACTTACATTAACACGATTAATAGATTTTACTCCTCTGGAATTCATGTTCCTTAAATCCATGCTTCTTAGCTAGAAGGCTAAGGAGCAACCCAGAGCAACTGAGAACTTTCTTCAGAAGGAACACCACAAAGAAACTATCTCTATAATCAACCATTCCATCCCACAAATTTCTCTACTTTAGAATGTGATAGAGTGCCAGATCATAGAACAAGATGGAGAACTAGTTTGGTGTAGTGGTTAAGGCACCAAGGTTAGAAACCAGGAGAATTTATCTATGGAGATTCTCAGTCATCCAGGTCATGGTTATCAGCTTGTAGAAAGTTAGCACCCACCCCTCTCCTAGAAGAATGTAATATTCTAGGAAATATTAAAAAGGCAGAATATTATATTTCCTTGGATGAGAAAAGGGGGAACATGTTTTTAAAGACAAAGAGCAGCTCCCTGCCGTTCCCTGCCCCCAGCAGGTATTTGGTGCACATTAACACTGGGCCAGCCTATCTACAAGACAAAAGTCCTCCAGCTCCAGGGTGATGGGATTATACCCCATCAACCTGCTGGAAATGTAAAGTCAGGGAACATATTACCACATGTGGTGGACGTGCCCCAAGGTAAAACAATATTGGAATAAAATTAGAATATATTTAGAAGAGATAACCAGACAACGTATAGAGATGAAGCCAGAAATATTTTTGTTAGGAATACTTCAAGGGATATACTATATGACAAAAAATACAATATTTAATTATACATATTACAACAGTGGCAAGAATAATATATGCACAAAATTGGAAAAATAATAATACACCAACGGAAGAAAATTTGATTAGAAAAGTTTTGGAGTGCACAGAGATGGACAAGCTCACAAAAGAAATACAAGAAAAGGAGGAAACAGAATACTACATGGTATGGGAGAAATGATATGAATGGTTAGAGGAGAGGTATAAAGGGCAAGGAAAGAGTAAATGAGGAAGATATAGGAGTTGAAAAGTAGTAACAAACAAGTAGAAATGAAATGGACACAGAATGTATGATTGGAATTGAGTACATTGTTATCTTTACATATATATAAATCAATATTGGAATCATATGTAGAAATGGTAAATTGAAGTAAGGTAGAAAAATGGATATGTAAGAAATGTTTACTGATGCGAAAATGTTGAAAAGAAGAAAATTGTAAAAATTTCTTTTTTTTTTTTGTTTTAAAAAAGAAAACCTGTTTAATAAAAATTATTTAAATAAAAATAAATAAATAAATAAAGACATGACCCCTCAGGACATAATAGGATTAGTCCTCTACCCATCTAACAGCAGGGCTCACTGCATTGCGAAATCACCTGGGGACATTACATCAGCCCAAGGTTCCACCAAACTTGACTCAGACTCCACATGGGAGTCTGACTACAGCCAGTAGAATACATGCTCTTGCCACAGGAACAGGAAGCTCAAGGGCAAGGCCCAAGAAAGGGTATAAATAACCCTCACTCTCCATTCCATGTGTTCAGCTGCACCAGGACTTCAAACCCATGTGGTCCTGTTCATCAATAAGCCATCTTTCCAATCAGCCTCCATGTTTCCAGTGTCTTTCTCCCCACTTGGAACTGAACCCAGATGGATATTTCTTCCAACAAGCTTAAGAAGCTTCTTGGATTTCTCATCCACTACATGGATGAAGAAACTACTTCAAGCTACTGAAGAAGCGTCTTCAAAGAAAAACCAGAAAGTCCAGTTGCCTCTTGAAAAAGCACCTTTGGGACAGGAGAACATGAGTTCTAATCCCACCTTAGATACAAAGTGTGTTTGGTGACCTTGGGCCAATCATTCTCTCTCAGTCCTAGGAAGGAGCAGAAAAGGGCAAACCATTTCTGAACTCTTGCCAAGAAAATTGCAGAGACTTGTCCAGGCAATCTCCAGAAGTCAAGACTAATTCAAAGGCATTTAAAAAACCGAAAAAGAAATGTTGATTGGATCTGTCATCTCATCAGCAATGTCTCAGAATCTTCAGTTGGTGTCAAGCGTTTGTATATACTGCAGCTGGATTCTATTAAACTAGGTGTGACTTTAAGAGGGTGCAGAACTGAATCTGTTGCCATCCTGGCAGGCTCTAGTCTTGCTTAGACAATGCAAAATACAGGTTACATTGCACAAAGAAGTAGATTTTACTCTCAACATTTCCTCTTTTTTTTTTTAAATCAAGAGGAGAAGAAGGTTAAGTAAAATGCAAAAATGGTTGGTTCAAATAGGAAAAGCAGAGCCAGTTTGGTCTATTGGTTAAGGCACCCGGCTAGAAACTGGGAAGCCATGAGTTCTAGTCTCACCTTAGGCAAGAAAGCTGGTTGGGTGACTTTGTGTCAATTACTTTCTCTCCGCCCAATGCACTACACAAGGTTATTGTTGTGGCATAAATAGGAGGAGGAAGGTGTGCTGGATGTGTTATTTGTAAAAACCATAAAGGAAGGATACAAATAAATACATAAATATATATCAGCGAAGGAAGATTTACCTACTAGAAGGAAGATTTACCTACTATTCAAGAATGGACATTAAAAGTAGTAAATTTAGGAGAAATGGTGAAAATTTCAGCATATCTAAAGGACCATTCAAATGAGAAATATATGTTAGAATGGAGAAGATGGATTGATTATATTCAAGGCAAATATCGGACTAAAAAATTTCAAGTAGCTTACGAATGATCAAAGAGATTTCATAAAGTCCTTAAATTTAGTTTAGTAAAAGGGGAGTTAAAAGTTCAAGGGGGAGATAGGAGGCTATAGATAATTAGCTTATGTTAGCTTATGATTGTCAAATGTTATACCGTGTATTTTGCTCTGGGAAGCGGGGGGGGGGAGGGAGGGGAAGGGGAGGGTTGGAAGGGGAGGAGGGAGGGGGAAGGGGAAATGTCTGTAAATTTTTTAAAAACTTTTCAATAATATATATATATATCAGCAAATCCTCATGTTCCTTTTTGCTGTGCATTTCATGGAGAATTGCCCAGCCAGGATTTCAACTTAGCTGTATCTTTTCCAAAACTCGAAAAGATGCAGAACCACTAACGATTTCTCAATGCTTTTGTCTCTGCAGCTTCCTATTCTTTCTTATTATGCTGGTTGGGGACACTGGAGATTTCAATCCTATTTCATCTGCTGGGCATCGAGTTAGGGAGACTGTTGTAGATTTATCACATATCTCAAGTGAGGAGCCTCATACAGTCAAAAGTTACCAAAACTGCACATGAGCAAGAGATGGTGAAGATTTACAGATATACCAGACCTTTTCCATCAATATTTTACTTTCAGTACCTTAGAAATGAGAATCTCTGTTCTATACTTATGTATGGAGAACTGTGAGCAAAGCCATGTGGTTGTATTCTACCTAAAACTTCCTTTTTACGACAGGGGTAGAGTCAGAGCAACTAGCTAGATCTGAGCATTTACTGGCCGGATGCCCTTCCTGATGCCTATGCGGAGTTCACAGCAGATATTTTCTCTGTGCACCCTAAGAGAGAAACAGGAACTCAAACCATGTGATCCTGTCCACCATTAAACCATTTTTCCAAGCAATCTCCATGTTTCCAGTGTCTTTTTCCCCACTTGGAGCTGAACCCAGAAGGATATTTCTTCCAACACCTCATTAAAAAATATGAAAAAGTAAAGTGGCTAACAATACAATGCACAATAAAAGATAATTAATGCAAGGGGGAAATAGAGCCACAATAAAAACAGAGAAGCAATTGAAAATGGCACTCAGTTAAAAGGATAATTGAGTTTAAAATACAGATTAGACCACACACAAATAGGAAAGCAAACTAAGTCAGTTGCTTGGGCAACTATAGAGCAATCAATCAATCAATCAATCAATCAATCAACAAACAAACAGAACAAAACAAGTTAGCATTGTAGAATATTTCTTTTCCTGAGTTGTTTTTTCTTGTAGGTGGGAACCCTCTTAAAGTCAAAAGTCCCGAAGTGCCACTGCAATCAGTTAGAAAGTCCCATTTCATTTTCTTCCAAGTAGCAATATCAGCAATGCGGCTAGTCCTCAACTCACAACCACAATTAACACCAGAATTTCTCTTGCTAAGCAAGACAGTTGTTAAACGGCCAATTTTGCAACCTTTTTTTTTTTTTTTTGCCACAGTGGTTAAATGAGTCACTGCCGTTGTTAAGCAAGTCACACAGTTCGTTAAGTGAATCCAGTTTCCCCTCTTGACTTTTGCTTGCCAGAACCCTCGCAGAAGGTCACAAATGCTGATCATATAAGCCCTGGGATCCTGCAATCCTCATAAATACAAGCCGGCTGTCAATCTACCAAATTCTGATCAGGTGATTTTTGGGGGGGATACTGCAAAGATTGTAATTGTGAGGGCTGGTTGTAAATCCCTTTTTTCACTGCCGTCCAAGTTGGTTGCTGAATAAATGGTTGTAAATTGAGGATTACCTGTGCAGAGAAAAACAGCTCTCCAAGAAATCTTGACTCTCCAACAGAAAAAAAAAGTTATCATTTGATCACGAACATCCTACAATGTCCGTGGCTACAGAAATCCTAAAACGTGCTTTGAATGTCTCCCAAAATGGCCATTATTAGTGGTTGACTGTTTTAACCAAAAATAAACCATTCTGGAGCCATGGCGGCACAGTGGATAGAATGCAATATTGCAGGCAAACTCTGCCCGCTGTCAGGAGTTCGATCCCGATCGGATCGAGGTTGACTCATCCTTCTCTCCTTCCAAGGTCAGTAAAATGAGGACCCAGACTGTTGGGGGCAATATGCTGACTCTGTAAACCGCTTAGAGCGCACTGTAAAAGCACTGTGAAGCGGTATATAAGTCTAGAGTGCTATTGCTACATGAAGATCATTCAGATAACCTAATCATCTTCAGAAAACTGAATCCAAGACTGCTATCAGTATGTACGTTTGGGGTTCATTATGCTGCTCTGTTTACATTGCTAGAATAGGTAAATGGGAATCAGGAAGGGGATGATAGGTGCTTCAGGCCATAGGTCACCAAGACAAAACAAGGAAAATTTGTCAATTCCCTCATATGATGAGCCATGGTGGCACAGTGGTTAGAACGCAGAATTGCAGGCTAGTTCTGCCTATTGCCAGCAGTTCGATCCTGACTGGCTCAAGGTTGAATCAGCCTTCCAACCTTCCGAGGACAGTAAAACGGGTTGCTGGGGGAAATAGGCTCACTCTGTAAACTGCCCAGAGGGTGCTATAAAAGCACAATAGAATAGAATAGAATAGAATAGAATAGAATAGAATAGAATAGAACAGAACAGAACAGAACAGAACAGAACAGAATTCTTTATTGTCCAAGTGTGGATACACAAGGAATTTGTCTTTGGTGCATATGCTCTCAGTGTAGAATAGAATAGAATTGATTTTTTTTTTTTTATTGGTCAAGTGTGATTGGACACACAAGGAATTTGTCTTGGTGCATACGCTCTCAGTGTACATAAAAGAAAAGATACGTTCATCAAGAATCATAAGGTACAACACTTAGTCATAGTCATAGGGTACAAATAAGCAATCGGGAAACAATATCAATATTGTTGGACACAAACAACAATAATATTGTAAGGATACAAACAACAAAGTTACAGTCATAGAGTCATAAGTGGAAGGAGATGGGTGATGGGAACGATGAGAAGATTAATAGTAGTGCAGATAAGTGTACATAAAAAGACAAGATACACTCATGAAGAATCACAAGGCACAACACCCAGTTATATGGAGCAGTATATAATCTAAGTACTATTACTAATTTACTCAGTCCTACCGGACTGGCAGTATTCTTTAAAGCTACCAAGGTTGAAAACCTTCCTTTAGTTTCTGAGCTTCCCAGCTTTGTCTGGAAGGACCTTTGATCTTTTTCATATTTTCATGCCCAACCCTGTTGGCTCAGTCACTGTATTCCAATATCGATGCAAATATGCTGCTCCAAGGGAAAAGCCAGATATATTGTTTGGGTGTGCCCAAACAATAGGAATTTGTACAACATGGAAAGGTTAGTTTTCAAAATAGACTAATTTCTGAGTAGCTTAACTCTTGCTCAGCTGATGAAGAGCTTCGCCTCCTGAGTTTGTTTGTCGGCTTATGGATCCATCCGAGCAAAGTTGAGTTGTGTAAATTAGGTAGCCAGGTTAAAGGTCACATAAATAGAGGTAGTCCTCGATTTACGGCCACCATCGAGCCCCAATTTTTTATCGCTAAGCAAGGAAGTTGTTAAGGGAGTTTTGCTCCATTGTACAACCTTTCTTGCCACAATTGTTAAGTGAATCACTGCAGTTAAGTTAGTAACACAGTTCTGGCTTCCCCATTGACTTGTCAGAGGGTCGCAAAAAGTGATCATATGATTCCAGGATGCCGCAACCATCAGGCCAGTTGCCAAGCACCTGACATGGGGGATGCTCTTGCAATGGTCTTAGATGTCAAAGTGGGTCATAAGACTCTTTTTTCAAGTGTAACTTGGAACAGTCAGTAAATGAATGGTTATAAGTCAAGGACTGTTATTAAGCTGGTTATTAAGACCAGCTGCCTGCAATTACTGCAGGTTCGAATCTCGCCAGGCTCAAGGTTGACTCAGCCTTCCATCCTTTCTAAGATAGGTAAATTGAGGACCCAGTTGTGGGGGCAATAAGCTGACTTTGTATAAATATACAAAAGGATGAAGGCTATTGCTTAATGCATTGTAAGCCGCCCTGAGTCTCCGGAGAAGGGCGGCATATAAATCAAATTAAAAAAAAAAAGGACTACCTGTACAGTCCAATAATTAGGGCTAGCCCTTACTTTTTGCATGGAAAAAGGGGGTCAGGCCCCTGTAGATTGCAGGTGTCACTTGTTCTCTTTTTTTGGCTGTCCTTAAAATCTCCCAGGACTGTGTCCTCAAAGTTTAGAGGCAAACCACTTCATTATTTCAGCACCATTTCCCATTTATTTCTTAAAAAAAAAAAAAAAGAATAGGCATATTAAGCAGAGAGAAAGAGATAGGAACTAGCCAGCTTGTAAAATATGCAAATTCCAGCTTCATGGATTGTTACTTTTAGTAGCTGGATAAAAAAAAAAAGGACAATATGGCCCCCAGTCATAAAAAGATTGTTCACTACTCATGGCACAGAAACCAGATTCGGGGTGTTTCCAGATTGAAGATTCCTTGGGCTTCTAATCAAAAAGCATTCTGGGGTTATGCCACCTTTTTTTTCTCCCCCATGCCAAATCCCGCCCCCACCTCCAATCCAAAGAGAGGATTGAAGAAGTAATGCAAAACCACAAGGTTAGATGGGAGACCAGGAAAACACATCGCTTGGGCTCTTTCAGCTCTTGTAAACGAAGCGGAGTCCTGCCAAGGTAAAACATTCCCCAGAAAACGAAGTTTCTCCCACCGCATTGCTAGACGGATTTTCTTTCTTTCGCAGCGTTTTTTTCTTCCTCCGGCTCGGCTGCGCTCCTCTACTCCCGCTTTTGCTCCTGTCAATCGCGGCGCTTTAAAAGCCGTTTTAAACTTCGTCAATGTGGTTTTAAAGGGAATGTTCTCCTGCTTGAGACCAGATGTAGTTTAGCTTTAGTTTTTAAGTGCTAAATCGCCTAAACCCCGGTCTCCGAGACGCGGAGAAAGCGGATTCAAGCACGGAGGAAGGAAAGGGATGGGGACAGTTTCAACTGAAGACAAGCGCTGTGGCTAAGAATTGAACTCAGTAGGGTCCTCGAGGCTCTCTGAACTTGGCTGTTCGAGAACCGACGTTTCGTTAACACTGGGGGTGTTACTTAGTCGGGTAAGGAAACAAACGGACAACCACGCTCAGCAAGGACCAAGGACTCCGCGATGTTGAAAGTGACCAGTGACCAAGTCACGAAAGGACTTCTTGTCCACCTTGTAGGTCTGTCCCTCTAAGAATCTGCCTCCCCCCCTCCCTCCCTCCCTCTCTCTCTCTCTCTCTCTTTCTCTCTCTCTCTCTCTCTCACACACACACAGAGAGAGAGAGAGAGAGAGAGAAAGAGAGATGGAGAGGGAGATGAAGCGGGAAGGAGAGAAAAAAGAGAGGGAAAGAGAGGGAAAAGAAAGAAAGAGAAAAAGAGAGAAACAGAAAGATAGAGGGGAGCGGAAAAGAGAAAGAAAAAGAGGCACAGAAAGACAGAAAGAGGGGGAGGGAGAAGAGAGAGAATGAAAGAGAAAAGAGAAAGACAATAAGATAGAAAGAGAAAGAGAGGGAGGGAGGGAGAGAGAAAAAGAGAGGGAACAAGAGAAAATGAGAAAAAGAGAAAAAGAGAGACAGAACGACAGAAAGAGAGGGGAGGGGGGAAGGAGAGAGAGAGAGAGAGAGAGAGAGAGAGAGAGAGGAAAAGAAAGAGAGAAAAAGAGAGATACCGAAAGATAGAGGGGAGCGGAAAAGAGAAAGAGAGAGAAAGAGAAAGAGAAAAAGAGACACAGAAAGAGGGGGAGGGGAGGAGAGAGAATGAAAGAGAGAAAAGAGAAAGACAGTAAGATAGAAAGAGAAAGGGAGGGAGAAAAAGAGAGAAAGAACGACAGAACGAGAGGGGAGTGGGAAGGAGAGAGAGA